TATAATGTGGTCTTCAATGGTATTATCGGCTATTGATGAGCGTCCATCTCGTTGAACATATCAGTAGTGATGACAATTATAGTACGTCAGTTTCACAGTTCTCTCGTCACCATGGATAGTTCTCAATCCCCTGTGTCTGTGTAATTTCGTTGTTTGGTCTCATGATGTGCTCATCCATGGGTTCATAAGAAGTATCCGCGGGAACAGATACCTCGAGTGCACACTCATTGGTATCGCCCACTTCGAGAGTGTCTTGTGACTCCTTTGTAATAGGGTTTTGGGGTTACAATGTCCTCATTCCCCTTGAACTAGCTGTTTGTGTTGCTTTGCTGCCGACAGTTATTCGATGTGCAAGTACAGTGATGTGCATCTTTGTCAAGACCATTCTGCTTCATTGCTGACACCCCTCGACATCTACACCTATTGAAACCCCATCGTCCCCTGTGATACTACACTTCAGTGCCGACTCATATGTCTATACATATCTTTACACTCTCGCCTGAATCCCTTAAACACTCTTGCGTGCGTGCATGTTTATCTCCTCCCGTGCACGTACGCCAATTGCAACAGGATCTGATGAACACCCTCCACGAGCGCCCAACCAAGCCGTATGTCTCCATAAACGATTCGTATCTCCCTGTCCACATCGACCTACTCATCGCCTTGGACTTAGCCGAGAAGCATCCCGATAATAAGGCACTTTTGCGTCTTCTCCCGCTATGCTAACAGCCTAACAACACAGAAACATTGCTTGCGGAAGGTGTATACGTCACTCGAACTGCAGACTTAAGTCTGTTATTATGCATATATATATATTTACATGTATTTATGTATCATACGATTGTAGTCGCCACGGTGTACGAAAACCAGATGGTGTGAAAAAACCAATAAACAACAACCAAGACTCACTGTAGTGAAAAACCCCTATAAACAACAACCAAGACTCTCTGTAATGCTGCTACAGCCAAAAACGAGTACTGTAGTCAAATGCGAGAATAGATTTTGCGAGCCCCGATAGAAATATGAAAACAAAATATGATGCTCACTAAGTTTCAAATAAGTGCAACCTAGCATCTCGTGTCCAGGACGCTACGAGTGAGTCAATAAGAACCTGTAGAATCAGTGAATTACAAATAAAGATCTCACAGAACACAAACGCACGCACAACCAGATATTCGCATTACCACTTTAATTTGTTCAGACACATGCCCAGATGTCAATTTTCTGCACTCCATATGTATATTTATGTATGGGGGAATGCGCCTAGATACATTCCAGACGTCGCCGGCTCCAAATTTCACCTGCATGGCCATTTGTATTCATTTTTTGGCTTCATATCGGCTCCGAATTTCGCCCTCATGATCATTTGTATTCGATTTTTGGCTGAATATCCGAATTTTGCCCTCATGGTCATTGGCAATCATTTTTTTTGGCTTCATATCCGCTCGTCCAATTGTCACAACACCTCCGCCACTCATATGCACACACCTAATGTTTCCCCCTCCACCCAACACCCCCCAAAACCCCCGTGATAAGACGTCCACCTACGTCTACCGCAAGCATGGCAGACCTCCGGTGGGTCTACTGTGTCTTCTTGTTGTCATCATGCGCACTCGCACTCCCCTCCGCCCCTGGGGTACTCTCCTCCTTTTCATCCGTACTCTCCGGCTCGACTATACCCTTGCCAGCCTTCTTGCCCTGTATCTCCTGCTCAAATTGTTCCTTGTGCACTCTATCGAGCTCATCTAGCTTCTTCTGTATCTCGGGGTGGACCCAGCCCTTCAGCGCGGCATCCCCCTCATCTGAGTCTTCGTTCCATGCGACGTATATGAACGCAGCCAGCACCACGTGTACCGTGATAACGGCGGCACCAGCACCCACGTGCTCTGGCTTAGTGTCCCCAAAGTAGCCGTTCATCTCAGCTACGAGGTTGTCCCGTGAGTGTGCGGAGAAGGTTAGTTACAGAAACGTGTACCCGACAAAAGTTGGGGATGTGTGTGGAAGGTATGCGGCGGTGTTTGAGGTGTGAGATGTACCACCAATACAAATCAATTGAAAAAATTTCCCAACGCAGCATTCTGGTGCGCCTAGAAAGAAACAGGATCCAGCAAAGGGCGGTGGTTGTATCGTGTGCATTGCTTCATGAGATGGATCTGAACTCGCCAGAAAGTGAATCGAGTTGTCTTCTATATTGTATGCTTCATTCCAAAGATAGCCAATGAGAATACGGCAATGTCTACATCAGGTATATGCAATACTGCTCATCACTCATACGCGCATATACAGTAGAAGGCAATCTTCACTTCCAAAATCATATATCGTCTCTACTTTGACTCCACCGCCGGCTTGAGGAGTCTAGGCAACCCCAAAAAGGGTACGGTATCCCCACACAACCATACCAACAGACAAGGCACAATCTTAAATGACATGTAGAAGTGCACTGCACATATTCAAATACAATCCGTTGGAGATCTGTCCATACCTTCATAGTAGTTTTTGACCGCGAAGTAGGCCACGACGGGACCAAGCATCATGAAGAAGCTGAAGAACCCTAGATTCCATAGTGCAGCCTTTGCAAAGCGTCTGCGTGAATTATGGTAGGGATTCCGGGTTGAACATAGTAAGTATTCGGTTCTGAATGTGGCAAGAACTTCGTGTGAACTAGAGGAATATGCATCAGGTTTTGAGAGAATGAGTACTTTAGAATGATAGAGTAAACAGAATTCTAGCTCGAGACTACATAAATATTGATATAGACAAAAACAATATTGATTATGAAATATATTATGTGGTCAAATATGCATACTGTGAACGTTCGCACATGACTCAAAAATGGTTCGTGCCAATACATGACAGATACCAAGTCAAAGATCCAAGTAAAAGTGACAAAAATAAATAAATTGTGCATATATATACAATATATATATATATAATAA